TGATTATTTTAACTTGGATGGAAGCATCCGAGGGGGAGGGGAAATGTGTTGCGAAACAGCGTTCTTGGTGTTGATAAGCGCATTGACGTTGATGACGAATTAATGACCCAAATGACCCAGGAAAATGAAATGTAAGTTTGATTTGAATCAGCTTTATAGCTTTTTTGGCTCCAACAGATTCGTTCCGGTGGAAAAGTGAAATTGCCACATGGCGTCGACGGGTAATTATGATCTTCGTTATGTTCAAGCATATCTGGAAGCATATCTCTTAGTGCACCACCTCAACTGCTGTGGCTCGGCCTTTGTGATCCGATTGACCCACATCTCCCCCTACCATCCACCATGCACCATCCAAAAAGTAAACGCGCTGAATGCCGCTCTTCTACTCTTCTTGTTCTTTTTGCTGTTGCTCGCGTCTGATCGAACATCAGTCAAGAAGAATCAATTCGACATGGTTGCCACGCCGTTGGACGAAGAGAAGATGGACAAGGACGACTCCATCGCCGAAGAGAAGGATGGCCAGGACAATATTCCAGAGGCGAATGGCCACCTTAGAGAGAAACACAGCCAGGACAGCGTCAAGGTCGAACGCTTAGGGGCAGACGCAGACAATGACGACGATTCCGGGGACGAAGAAGAACCACCCGTCGTCATAGAACGGGTCTTTAGCAGACGGAGCATGGCCAGCGACCATCCTCACCAACACCAACACCACCATCATCAACCACTGACCGATCTGGATCACGGCATCGTGGGCTGGGACGGGCCCGACGACCCGGAGAACCCTCTGAATTTCCCCCGGCCCCGGAAATGGGCTCTGTTGGGTCTGGTGTCGGCCATCACCTTCGTCTCACCTTTGGCCTCGAGCATGTTCGCCCCCGCCGTAGGCTTTTTGGGTGAGGATTTTGGTGTCCACCAGGAGCTGGTGCTCTCTTTTACCGTGAGCGTCTATCTCTTGGGGTATGTGGTAAGCTTTCCTTCCCCTTCTCGTCCCCGAGAAAAGCAGAAACATGCAGGATCTGGCTGGGCACTGACACACCGGACAAACAGTTTGGTCCGTTGGTCTTGGCCCCGTTGAGCGAGATCTATGGCCGTCGCATCGTCCTCTGCGGCGCCAATATCTTCTTCGTCGTCTGGCAGATCGGCTGTGCTCTGGCGCCCAACGTGGGCGGGTTGATCGCCTTTCGCTTCCTCGCGGGGATCGGCGGTTCCGGATGCCTCACGCTGGGCGCTGGTGTCATTGCCGATCTCTTCGTCGTCGAGGAGCGCGGCCTCGCCACGTCCATCTGGAGTCTGGGACCTCTGTTCGGCCCCGTGGTCGGACCGATCTGTGGAGGTTTCGTGGCCCAGCAGATCGGATGGAGGTGGGTGTTTTGGATCCTTCTCATCGCCAGCGCCTCGACCACCATCGGCATCGAGCTGCTCAACAAGGAAACCTACGCGCGCGTCCTCATCCGGTGGAAGACGCAACGGCTCGCCAAAACGCTCGGCCGCAGCGACCTGGTCAGCTGGTTCGACCGGGAGAAAGGCCCCGTCGGTCCCAAACGAACTCTGATGGACGGGATGCGCCGGCCTCTGCAGATGCTGGTCAAGTACCCCATCGTCATGGTCCTGTCGGGGTACATGTCGTTGGTGTACGGCCTGCTCTACCTCCTCTTCACCACCATCACCTTTGTCTTCGAGCAACAGTACGGCTTCTCGCCCCAGATCACCGGGCTCGCCTACCTGGGCATCGGGATCGGGTTTTTCCTCGGGGCCGGAGTCATCGCCGCCACGTCGGACCGGATGGTGATCAAGCTGACGAAGCGCAACAACGGCCAGTTCGAGCCCGAGATGAGGATGCCGCTCATGATCATCTTCGCCTGCTTCATCCCCGTCAGCTTCTTCTGGTACGGCTGGGCGGCCGACAAGAAGGTCCACTGGATCGTCCCCATCATCGGCATGGTCCCCTTCAGCTTCGGCATGATGGGCGTCTTCCTCCCCATCCAGACGTACCTGATCGACTGCTACCCCACGTACGCCGCGTCGGCGATTGCCATTCTGACGGCGACGCGGTCCCTCGTCGGGGCCTTGCTCCCTCTCGCCGGACCGCCCATGTACGACGCCCTCGGGCTGGGCTGGGGCAATTCTCTGCTGGGCTTCGTCGCACTGGCTTGTATCCCCATCCCACTGGTCCTGGAGCGGTACGGCAAGCAGATAAGGAGCCGGGACAAGCTGGTGCTATGATTGAGCCTCTCTCTGTCCTGTCCTGTCTTGTCTTGTCTACCCGGTCAAGTCTCGTCGAGAGTCAATAATTTCGTTTCGTTTCGTTTCTTTTTCTTGTCTTTTATAAATTGTTAGGCCGGTCGGTCGGTCAGCCGGCCAGCAGGCGTCATGGCCCATCCCATAGAGGAAAGGTGGAAAAAAGTGGAAAAGCGCATAGAAGAGGTCTCAAGCTCCTAAATACTCATACAGGGAGGGAGATTTCAACACTTGTACCTGATATCAACAAATACATACAAATCATATCATCAAGGACCCGGTTGCATGAGCTCAGGTGCCTTGCCCCCCCTTTTCTCCTTTAGAAGTACGAGGTACTAATTATGAGCAGAAGAAAAATGTAAGCGAAAGTAAGCAAACAGGGGAGAGGGGGATCTGCCTCGTTCTCGTATCGTACGAATAGTGTAAGCAGATCAGCCCCAAGCCCGAAGAAGATTCAATCCACTTCCTGATCGACAGCTTCGCTCTTCTTATGTAATTGTCACCTCTCCGTCTACCCTGCTTGCCTACTTGCCTACTTGCCTACCTATGTACCTAATTAACGCGTCGAGAAGGACTCGTTCATCAAGAGATTTGAGTGTTGATATGAACCGAGGTTTAGTTAGAACCAAGGCGAAGCAAAGCACAGCACAGCACAGCACAGCACAGCACGCCCAGCCCCAGCCACGGTACGTGTCTTTGTTACTTGTATTGATAAACACCGTCAACGAGAAAAGGAAGACCACCTCGAGCGATATCGATAGGGATAGTTTCCCCGGTCGAATGCTAGATGCCGAGTAGGCAATACGAGATAATCGAGTTGGTAGGTAGGGATTGATAGATCACACAGACAACTGCGGCACCGAAAGGCTAATATTGACCCCAACTTCAACTTCATCCTGGTAATACCTCTTGCGTGTCGTGTCTGTCCACACGTGCATTGACCTCCCTCATCCTAAGTAGGAGCAAAAGTAAAGAGTATGAGGTAGAGCAAAAGGGAAAGAGCCGAGAGCAAGAGTCCATCGAGGAAAATGGACATAAAACCCATCATCATCTGGCTGTTGAACGTCTCAAACTCAAGAGTGTACCTGTACCTGTACCTGTCAAAGGGCATTCAAGTCTCGGATTGCCACTTATTTACTTTTTGTGCACTCGTCCGCGTCCGCGTCGGCATCGAAAATTAGCATGAGGAAAGGAATGTCCCGAATCTGCTGGCAGCTGGCTGCCCGGTTCTTCTCCCCAGTGTTATATACAACATGCCCTCCCCTGCCCCGGCCCCACCGAGTACAAGCATGTCGAACCACCACTCCGGCTCTAGCTCCCACGCTCTCTTTCCCTAGACCCATATCTACACCCCCATCACCCATCTCACCCTTCATCAATCTTTTGTAGAAGCTGGCGCTTCAAGCAAGCAAGCAAGTGATGCCTCTTATTTCGGTGGAATGCCGTTGAGGACTTTTGTCCCCCCCTGTAACGCCCCGTTGCATTCATGTGCAGAAAGATGCAATTTCTTGCAATCTATTGCGTCTTGAACAGCAGTATGGCGACGTGGCCCAGGTAGAAGTAGATGAAGTGTTTTGTCTCTGTCAATCCTCAATCAGTCACAGCCACAGTCACAATCACGGGTCATGAGGGGTGAAGGACATACCGTGTGTGACAAAACTCCCAAAGTTGCGACCGACTATGCAATGCCAGGTGGCGCCCTTTTTCGAGTCGAACTGCGCGAGGAAGGGGTTTCAGAAATCGTCTCGATTGTATGTCACAGTCATCGGGCTGGGCTGTGCGCGTACCTCTCGTTTAATGTGTTGAGCAATGTCCTATCGCCTTTTGTAAGCATTCACACCCCTCGTGTTCAATGGCGGTTTTGCGAGTATTTATTACCTTTTCGACGCTGAATTTCTCCATTGCCTCTTGGGCTATACACGACAGTCAACAATCCCGTGTCTCTCTCTCTCTTTGTCGCTCTCGCTCTCTTGATGTTCACTGGGGGGGCGCAGTTTCCATACCAACTTCAATTGCTTCTTGTTGCATGTCCTCGCTCTTGAGATGATCCGTCAATGACACTTGTCCAGTCCACGTCCATGTTTTGTTTGGCCGGCGGTTACGGGGGGCGCCGTTCTTACCATATCGACAGATTTGATCTGGGCTGCGTCCGGCAGGTCACATATACATGTTAGCCGTGTGATCGTGGTCGGGGAAGACGAAGGTCAAGGGCATCTCAGCGCAGGAGAGACAGAGAGTGACTTACGCTCCAACTTGACCTTCTTCTCGGGGATTCCCTCGGCGGCGGCCATGATGTCGGTGGACTAAGCACTATCACAGGGGGAAAAGAGAATGAGTCGCAAAGATAAAAGACTGTACAAGCCGGACAACAAAAAAGTCTGCAGCGGAATAAAACCTGTAGGCACGGGCGAACTTGTGGTGATTGATATGAATGAACAATTAAAGCCACGCATGTGCAGGGCACAGGTCGCAGGATGTAAGTCGCAAAAGGGAGCAAATCATCACAAACCGGGGGGGATCGTCAATTGCGGGTTGAACGAATCATGGAACGGCACATCTTGGCGCCTAAAGAGAAGTAAAAACTCACGTGCGACTCACCCAGGCCATGCCGCAATTCACCAGGCTCACCAGGCTCACCAGGCTCTCCTTCCTCCTTCCCATCGACTCCGAACCTCTTGCAACCTCTGTTAATTACAAGTCTGTACCTGCCATCTGCCATCTGCCATTCTAATGCCACTTTTACGTCCCAGGCTTCCATCATGGCGTCCTCGTCCTCGTCCCCGAAAACGTTTGCCTCTCCTCCATCCGAAACCTCTTCGCCGCAAAATGCCATGCCTACACGCGATCGCTCAGCGGGGCGAAATGTCCACATCTACGACTTAAATGATCCTACCACCGTAATTGGCGGCCTACTCCTCCTACCCGGTGTCACAAATGCCAACTTCTATGCAATGATAGAGATCATTGTTATATTCGAGAGCCCTTTCTTTCTACAAAATGAGAACGAAACGAAGATTGAGAAAGACGACCATCCACTTCAACCTGGAAAATATTACATTGTTGCTACCAGTTCTTTTCAACTTAACGATGAGCCATGGCTCGTCCGGACAATTAGTCTAGCTACCGGAAGTCGTGTTGCCGCCTTCGCCGAAGCTGTTCGTTCACGAGACCGTCAATGTATCGTATCCGGAGAGCCTGTACCTACCTTTAATGGAATCGACTTCTGGGAGAAATTCGAAGCTGCGCATATTTTCCCACTCGCCTACGAAGGTCACTGGATTGATCAGAACTACGCTCGATGGATTACAATTCATCCGGAACGAGGAGGATCTATTAACTCAGTACAGAATGGATTGTTACTAGAGCGCGGTATACATAGTCAATTCGACGCATATCTCATCGCAATCAATCCGGATGTATAAGTATCTTATATCGATATAAAGGATTAAGGCTAATATTTTGTATAGGATAACTATAAGGTTATAGCCTTTGGGCCTGTAGGGGGAAACATTGAAGGCAAGCATCTTGATCGGGAGTTATTTACTCGCCCTGATGCGCCTATTGATCCGCTTCTACGATGGCACTTCAGACAGGCTGTCCTGGCGAATATGAGGGGTGCTGGAGAGCCGCGCTTCGAACATGACCTTCCGCCTGGTTCTGATATTGTTGGTCAGATACTTAGGGGTCCGAAGCCAGGTGAAAGAATGGAATTTGAGCTGTTCAGTCGTCTCGGTGCTCAAATGGAGTTGTTTCCGGGACAGTGAGTATTAGGGGAGGGGGAGGAGATAAGGGAGAAGGGGGAGACTACCAATGTAATGCATAGAAGTTTACCTTTCTACGCTGTACCATCCCTAGAAGTAGAATCAAATACCTCAAAAAGCTGATTCCTCATAACCAATGAATACAGGGCGGCATCATCGTCGTCCCAAAGGGGTTGAGCTCGCGGCAGTTTTTACTTATCTTGGCGAGCCAACATTGGGTGACGGAATTAGTATGGCTACAAAGCATGCCGTTCAATGTGTACCAGATCTACCATTGATCATAGTTAACGCTCCTCTATTCACTACTGTGATGGATTAAGAGGACTTCCATCGCCTTGTCGTCATCTCCAGACGCAGCAGAGGGTGTGCTCTCCGGCTCGAGGTAGATTTTTCGAGCTCGCGGCTCCGATTCAAAGATAGCAGCGACTTATTCTTCTTCTCAAAACTGGGGCAAACGCCCTCTTCCAGAACTCCCTCCAATTACTCCCATCCCGGAAGTATTTGCTGACCATCCTCGCCTCTGCTCTCAAGGCCGCCGAGGAAGACGACATCCTCAAGATTATTGATCCCTCGTACGTAGCCTCGTACAACTGGTTGGCAAGAGACAAGCCGACAATCCTAGTTTCAGGTATGTGAACCTCCGCACGAATGACTTCGTCTGATTGCTCTCAGGAAGCCCTCCAAGATGGGCACCTCCATGCTCCAGCCCTAAGTCGGACAGAGGGACATACTTCAGAGACAAGAACGCCTCCCAATATGCCGCATATCCAACGGAGCCTGCCGTTCGCGCCCTGTTCACGGTGAAACCTGACTTCGATGGACAAGAGGTTGATTTATGTCACCTCGCCGTCATTGCAACCACCACGACTGCCTCTCTTCACCCGCTCAGTTTCCTAGAGTGGTATCCCCTGGCGGGTCACACCGGGCACTCAAACTTTATTTGGCCATGAGAAGTAGGGTCTGCTTACCAGATCGCACATATGCTCGCAACGTGCCACCCGTACCCACCCAACACGATGCACCTTTCGAAATTCGACGATCAGGGTCAACTCAGCCTGACTGAGGATCTTCACGACGGCATTCCCGCCTACGCGATCCTCTCGCATATATAAGGGGGACGATAAGGACGAGGTCGATTTCGACGACCTTGAACACAAATCGTTCACGAGTAAGGCTGGCTTTGCGAAGATCCGATTCTGCGGCGAGCAAGCACAATGTCGATTACTTCTGCGTGGATATATGCTGCATAAATAAAGCGAACAATACGCAATACTTAGAAGCCATCAACTCAATGTCTCGCTATTACCGCAATGCCGTCAAGTGCTATGTCTATTGGACTGGGGCGAGGCTCTTAGCCAGAGGCATCAACTCGTCCGGCGGTGGGCATAGTGTTGGGGGTAACGGCTATGGCACAACAATGACATAACAGCGTGGAGAGTCCTGATCAGATAGATTCCTAACTCTATCGATCACTATCTCCTATGTCCTTGTGTGTCTTGTTGGGTGGATTAACAGATTGATCCTGTTGAAGGGTCAAAGAAAGAGGAATCTCAGACCTAGTGTCAGAGATCCAGCCAATCAGTGTCCGGGAGTGTAATCCCGTACCGAGTACATTGTAAGGTACAGGCAGACAGGTAAATCCCACTAATCACGTTTCGGCCTGTAGATTCCCCCATTATTACACTAGGTATTTAAGCCGCTAAGGGTGATTATGTAGCTTGCATGGGGGGTTCTCAGGCCACCTGTCTGGGTACCTGTAAATCTGCCCCAGGATCGGCCTCGTAGCGCCCCAGTGCGCCCCGATCCCATCTTGTCTTTTTGTGCAACATCTCGTGTTGTTGAAATGACTGACTCGCGGGCGATCCTTCTAAACTCACCCGCCATCGTCCTCCACCGGGCAGAATTTCCAATTCTTCAAAACTTTCTCTCACCATGAAGCAAACACACAGTTACACAGCCTCCCATTACGTGAGCGACAACGGCTTTCCCTTGAGCTGGATGTGCCGTTGCTGTATCACCGGTGGTGTCGCCAAAGACAGAGAGGCCGAAATCGAAGAGCATTACTTGCGCAGCAGAACTCAGGCTGGCAAGATCATCGGTCGCCCTGCTGGGCTTCAAACATACCCCAAACGAGCAACCATGCAATACCAGCGGCAATCCCCCGACCCCGACACGACGGTACAGGATTCGCAGAAAGGCGAGCCACAGGAGGCGGCGGCTGAATCCACGACGTCGAACACTTGAGATTTCACGACTTGCGGATTCGCTCCGCCCACCCATACGGTCTTCCGACTACATTGCAGGAGCAGGTCTCCATAGTTTACAAGCAATGTCCATTTTTGGGTACGCCGGGAAACCCCTTTCGGAAGGCTTACTATTGCGACGAGACACACGCTACAGCAGCAAAAGCGTACGACATGAGGAGGATGTGTGGTTCTTTTTTTCTTCTTCTTTTCTTTCTTCAAATCAGTACCTCCTTGTTTCTGGGTTGGCTAGCTAGTTGCAGAAACTCTTGCCAAACTTTCACAGGGATCGCCACTTCCTTCAGGCCCGTATCACTCCGCGGAAATAGATACGTCAGGACGTGTTGTTAGATGAACAGAATGGGCTTTAAATAGTGGAAATTGGTACTTTCTTCCAATGTTGTGGACTCATCAAGGTGCTTTATAGCTGGGCATATATCGGCACTTGTCGAGGGTACATACGTTCCCTATTCCACCACTCCCATCCGACACTACCAGCCCAGCACCAGTTTGGGGTTGGCGTTTTGGAGGCCGCCGAATTGAGTTGCCAACGAACCCATGGTTGACATGGCCGTGATTGCCTTGCCGGACCTTGTCAACGCATCGGCATGGCTGGCGAGATCTCTGTCACCTGAGCAGTCTACGAATGCTTTACCAGAGATTGTTCGCCTCCCCCTTCGCTCTTGAACCTCGACCGTGACAAGCCTGCCATCGGTCCTCTCACCAACAACCACGGCGCAATGTGGTAAAACTTCAATATCATATGAGGCGATCATATCATCCAGGACATGCTTAAGCTCCTCGGTATTTGACATGCTGGAACCAAAGTTAGCTTCGAGTTCGAGGATGTAGAATTTCTGTCTCGCCTGAATATATACGACAACTCCTGTCGGGAAGTGCAGTCGCCGCCTCCCTCCGAGACCAGCCTTGCGTGGAGTTCCGTCCAGATTTGCCCTCCCACCCTTCGAGGGTCGGTCGGGTGGTCCCACGCTGTAAGGTCCGCAGCATGAGGACTCCGCGGTGAGTAGCAGCGCCACCGAGACATGCCTTGGACTGAATGATCAAGACCCGTGACTGTGGCGCTGTTTGCTTTGCGCCTATCGCAGGACTACAGACCACAATCACATCGCAGGATCCTTCAGAATCAGCCATGGACAGGAAGCCATTGATATGGTCTTTGGATTTGCCATTCTCAGTGTTTGGCATCTTGATGTCTGAGTCCAATTGCTACCAAAGTCACCAGGCTTGGACTCGGCCATTGCATATATATTTCCCTTGCTGTGGGATTTCAACGTGTACCAAAATGGCCTTGGCGATAGGTCACCCGCTTCAACGGCTTCGCTCCGCCCTCCGCCCCGCCCTCCGCTCTCCAGGTTACGTGATTCAAGGAGTCCCTTTTTCCACATAGATCAGTATTACTTTAAGGAGGGAGCCATGGTGAACGCTGACGAGGCTTTAGTGGGAAAATTATGTATGGGAAAACACCCAAGAAGCGTCCATTCTGGGTACCCAAGGTGTACCACGATTTTGAGGATCAAGAATCTCCCCTTCAATCGGGGCTTACGCTGTGGCTATTTGTTGATAGAATCTATCCCAGAAGACAGTAGTGAGTTTATTGATCCTTCAACTAGACTACACTTCAGAAATGACCCCAGCCAAAGGTGTCAAGGGCTCAATCGATTTTTCGACCTATGTACGGGGCCCCCCCTTTCCTCCCCAAAGGTGTCGCCCAGTAGATGGTCCCTCATGCGGAACTCTCGAGGGGAGTGGGAAGGGGCTTTCGTTTCGCACCGTAGAGCCTGTTGGAAATGTACTAGAAGAGATTTCAAAAACAGAACATGTCAGTAACTCTGAGTATTGGCTGCTCTAGGGTCTCTGAGTTTTGTTGCATGCAGAGAGCTTCTCTTCGCGCGCACGTCTGGGGGGCGGGGCAGTATGGTTGAGTGAGATATATAGCTTACCTCGCCAGCGACAAAAGGCTCATGCTTCGCAGGCCGGTCTTCATTGACGCAAGTATGAATGGCCTGGATTTTGGTCGTGTAGTTTGGCCCAATGAACAGCGGAAAGGAGTAACGCTCGCGGCCGGAGACGTTGTAGACTCGGTGCAAGGTTGAGCGAAAGACATCGTTGGTCCAGCGAGAGAGAAAATCGCCAATGTTGACCACAAAGGTGCCAGGGATCGGAGTCACTTCGATCCATTCACCCTTTTTCGTCTGCACCTGTAGACCATTGGTCTCGTCTTGACAGAGAATCGTAAAGCCTGCGGCCGGAAACAAGAGTCAGTGTTGGTTTGGTAGCAGGTAGCAAATGTGTTACCTACATTCATAATCCCTGTGTGCCCCGATCCCGGGATGGTCAGGGTCGAGTATTGACGCCGGATATCTGAGTAGCCGCATGATGGCACCCGGTCGAACCAGGAGATCATCAAAATAATCTTCGGGGAGGTCGAGCACAAGGGCAAAGGCTCGGATCATCCGTCGACCCAGATTCAACACCTCGCCGTAGTAGGCGAACAAGTCTTGTTTCCACTGCTCAGGGAAGTTTCGAGGCCAGACATTGGGACCCTTTAGGCCCTCATACAACGGCCATGGCTCGGAGAGGGGAGTCTGGGGGTCGGCTGCGGGCTCGTAGCCGAAGTTGAAGGCTTCCTTCATATCTGCACGCATGAACTTTAGTCCAATGATTACATGGTATCAACATGGTGGCTGAATATTCTCGGGCAAAAAGGACGGAAAGAAAGGAAACACTCAAACCGTGAAAAAAACAAAGTGTTTGGAAAGAAAAACGAAGGAGAGAGGGAGAGAAAAAAATCCTCACCTCCTTTTGTCTGCGGATCCACCGCTCCATAATGAATGTCTTCATACCCCTTGAAGCTCTCGTTCTTGGTCACATACACCTCCATCTTATCCTCAGCCGGCAGGGAGAAAAATTTCTTCGACACCTCAAACGCGCGATCAATCACTTCTTGAGGCACACCATGATTCTTGACGTAGAAAAAGCCGACGCGGATACAAGCATCACGGACTTCCCGCGCCACTGCGATCCGGTCGGTGATTTCCTCGCTGGAAAGACCGGCCAGGTCAATGACGGGGACTTCTTTGAAATCTGCTGCCTCAAGCCTCTTCGCTGTCTGGAGAAGGGTTTCGCCCAGGAGCGGCTCCTGGAGGCTGCCCATTTCTTTTTTTTTTTTGCCTCTTTCTTCAACTGAACGTTGGTGATGTGGAAAAGGACCAAGGTGAGTTCAAGTTTGGGTCGATTCAAGACCCCCTGAGCGTGGAGGGAACGTTCTGGTGGGGAATTGACGGCAAGATTTGTTCCACGACAGAGATATACCAACAATTACTCGAAACGAACTGCGATTTTCTAGACCCTCACTAGGTCGCAATAAATACAACTATTTGTATCACACACAGCAACACAAAGATCAAATGGCATGGCCAGCACTTAGTCGCGTGACCGGATAAGTAAGTGCCTTTCGCTTTGGAGATATGGTTGTGTAACTTGACCTGGCAGGGCCCGCTATCTATACCCCCTTTATCGCCCCACTTCCTCGATATCTCTTCTCCACATTGTCCCTCCCAAAAAGACCATAGTGTATTGCAAGCGATATCTTCCTAGAACCAGCGTGTCTTGGGGAGAAATCCGTCAATTGCCTCCCTACTGTCAAAGCTCTAGTTCTATATGTCCAATGCCTCTAGAAGAGCAGGCTAGCATTGCTGAGGCCTTATCCGATTCCAACAAGCCGGTTCCACGATGGTCAATGCGTCCCTTTGCAACTTGGACACGACAAGTGCCACAGCTTCCGGCTTCACACGACGACGGTACATCGATGCCCGCCTCCCTCAATGCCTCCAAAAGGCTCCGTGTTGCCGGCACTTGGATTGTCTTTTGGCTCGCCAGGAGCGCCGCGGTGAAAGGATCGCCTGAGGTCGTGACTGCGAAAGCCTCAAAGTGGATCTGTTCTTCTGCCAGCCCATATCGCTTCGCCGTTGCGGCAACGTCGTCCATCAATCTGGGAGACCCGCAGCAATACACGTGTGTGTTGGTGGTCACTTTGGACATGATACGGGCGAGGTCCAGCCGCCGTCCCCTTTCTTTGTCATATATTACGAGGCTCTTGCCTAGCTTCGATAGTCTCTCCCTGAAGGGTACCTCATGGGTCGAGCGGACGGCCAGATGCAACGTGAAATTCTCCCCGGATTCCTTCAATTTTTCCGCAGTCGGAAGGAAGGCTGTGATTCCGATTCCACCAGCAATCAAAATATGTTCGTCCGCCTCTGGCGCAAGTGGGAAGCTGGTGGTGATCTTCCCTACTGAGAATACATCTCCCACTTTGGCATTTTTATGCAGACATAGAGATCCTCCACGGGACTCGTCTGCAAGAGCCACGCCCAGCTCGAAGCGGTCCTTGGTGCCACCGACAACGGAGTATGCTCGGATCAGGTCACCCTTGTCTCCCAACTTCAAGCGCACATGAGATCCAGGTTCAACTTTGGGACTCGTCGTTTGAGACTGCTCTCCGACAATCTCGAAAACGAACGAACAGATTCGAGGGGTCTGTCGAAGCTTCTGCACAAGCTTGTAGTCCGACCAGGCCTCCAGAGCAACCGAGTCGTCACCGAACATTCGTTCGTCCTGGTTCTCAAAATTCTTTTTCAACCTGTTCTCGAAGATGGTGATTGATTCTCCGCCGAGGCCTGGAAGATTCACCAATTCGGCCATGACCTCGAAGTTTTTCATTTCCCGGTACAAGTAGTGTTGAACTGCGGCCACCGTCCACTTCGGGTTCAGTCTCTCGACAAGTTTGATTTCGTCGCCCGGTGAAATGTAGCCCTCCTTCAAGACCCGATAGTACCAGCCCGTCCTGCTCTTCATCTGAGACTGCCACGCCATATCCTTGACTTCGAAGCGGTGGTTGAGTTTGAAACAGGGTTGTCGTGGAAGACTGACCTGCACCGTGACTTCTGGACCAATCGTGAGGATGTCTCCAATGCAGATATTCTGTTCATTAGCTGAGGTACTGACCAGGTTCTCCCCAAATCCGCCGACAGTGAAATGCTTCTCACTCCCTGGACACTCTGCTTTCCACGTCTCATAGTGTCTTGCGCAATAGTGAAGCAGCGCCTTGTCCGGCCCTCCGTGGAACTCGTATGCGTGCTCATCTCCCTCGCAACCAAGCTTTGTGACTTTGACAGGCCGAGTATGAGGATTCTTGTAAATTGCCGACTTGACTGGGAGGTGGTACAGTGGTTTGATCTTTCCGGTCCGTACTTGAAGCAATCTTTCAGTCTCAAACGGCAACTTTAGGCCCATAAGGTCTTCTTTTTGTTCGTCTGAAACCATATTTGGCAATCTGCTTCAAGATGGAATTATGAATATATAGCTGACCTTGGCCTCGCGCTGTGTGTGAGAGACGCAAAAGGCCACCTGGAGCCGCCAACTAGTTTGTGGTTGTATTGCAACTATGGAATATTGGCTCAATTGAATCAATTCATGATACTAATTGTCTAGACACCACGAGGTCTAAAACAGCCTACCATGGTCGATCTTTAGGTCATCAGAACTACGTGGTATACACAAATCTCCCATACAAAGCCCCGTGCACTAAGTTTCGACAAGCACCAGTACTGTAGCTGCTGGGCGGGGATCTACGCAAAACTCCGAAACTGGGTTTAGTGTTGGGGCGAGAAGTGAATCTTGGAGAGAGACTTCAATTGAGTTCCGGAGAGGAACGCAGAAAAAGCGGGATCAAAGTACCAAGAGTATACCTAAAAGTATGATAATATGATAAAGTCGAAGTTTGATAAGGGGACGTACGCTCTAGATCTCAGTCCCCACTATCCTATCAAAACCATCTCTTATCATAATAGATACCGTTTATGAATGTTCTGATCTGGAATGGGCGCCGATGTATTAACGGGCCTGTATATCTTTCATGCAGGTCCCGGTAGTATGGGATAAGAGGGCAGGCAGGCATTCTCATCGCCGTTACGAGCATAGGCAGGTGTGCGTACTAGAAAACAAGTTCAAATTCGGTCAATTCGTTTTACACATTGCAATTACAAAACGAACTGCGAACTTTTCTGGGGTGGGAATTTTTGATCGAAAAGGGCCAAACAAAGATCCACAACCATGACTCTCAGAGAGCGCACAGCCCAGCTGGCAGAGAAGTGCCAGATCAAGCACGACTACTATGACAACAACGCTGAGGGCGCGCAAAAGAGTAAATATCTTTGGAGTCCTGACCTAGCTCCGGTTGAGCCTGCACGACGGACATGGGGTTGGTACAACTTCATGAACCTCTGGATCTCGGGTAGGTATATATATCGAGCCGTGTTCTACAATGTCGATTCCCTGGGGCGCGATTTTATGTTGGTTTTGCTGACTGGAATTTCTCACAGCCTCGTTCAATGTCAATACGTGGCAGCTTGCCGGGAGCTACGTCGCCGCCGGTCTCGCCTGGTGGCAAGGCTGGCTTTGTATCTGGGCTGGATATATCCTGACGGGCGTTTTCGTCTCACTCGGAGGCCGAATGGGGGCAATGTACCACATTTCGTTTCCCGTGGCGATTCGCTCTTCTTTCGGCATATATGGGTCGATTTGGCCAGTGCTCAATCGTATTGTCCTGGCCATTATCTGGTACTCCGTCCAGGGCTGGATTGGAGGACAGTGAGTTTGTCCCTGAGCTAACTGTCAAAACAACCTTGGTCCTTGGATATAAGAAAAAAAAAAGGCTAACAACAAGTGCCCTCCCCCAAACAGATGTCTTTATCTCATGCTGTGTGCGGTTTGGCCAGGGACCGCTCGAATCCCAAATCATCTCCCGGCGTCTGCTCAGACAGATACAAAGCACATGATGTGCTTTTTCCTGTTCTGGCTCTGTCAACTGATCGGTAAGAATGCCTCGCTTTGCGGTTGAGAATACCCTGCTAAGACGGCGAAAAAAGGCATATACTTCCCTTTGCACAAAGTCAGACATCTATACACTATCAAGGCGGTGACAGCTCCCATTGGAGGCATCGCATTCGCTGCATGGGTGGCTGTGAGAGCAGGCCATGGTGCCGGTCCCGTCATGTCTCAAAGCAGCTGTAAGTGTCCATGAAGGTCGATGTTTTGCCTAGCCCATCATTGATATGACGACTACGCAGCCCTCAAAGGTAGTGCCTTGACATGGACCGTGATCCAAGCCATCATCTCGTCCTTGGACAATTTCAGCACATTCATTCTGAATGGTGAGTGTGGGATGAAAACCCACGAGGCCTCCCTCTCTTCTGGCTCGTTTACTGAATCGACCGATACGCAGACTCCGATTTTTCGCGGTTTTCAAAGAAGCCTTCCAATGCCCTCTGGTCTCAACTCATTACAGTTCCAGTCTCATTCTCAGTCACTTCCCTGGTTGGTTTAATCGTCTCCAGCTGCAGCGCTACATTATACGGCTCCCCACTTTGGAATCCTTTGGACGTCCTGGAGCGAGTAAGTACCCAAGTTGTTTGCATGAGAAGTTCAAATTCTAGGCCAGAAGACCTGTCATCTAACCTCTGAACTCCCTAGTTTGTTACCGACAGTCCATCCAGCAGCGACAGGGCCGGGGTTTTCTTCCTCGCTCTGATCTTTGTCTATGCTCAGGCTATGACAAACCTGACGGGTGCAAACTCTGCGGGAAGTGACTTTACCGCTCTGTTCCCTCGATACCTCAATATTCGTAAGTTCATCCTTATTTGTCCCCCCCATTCCGAATCCGGGATAGACAAGACTAACATAAACGCAGGACGTGGTGGGTATGTTGCCGCAGTGCTGTCTTTTGCCTGCGTGCCGTGGAAACTCTTATCCAGCAGCAACAACTTCTTAGCATACGTCGGTGCCTACAGTGTCTTCCTTTCTGCTTTCGTCGGACCTTATTTCTGTGATTACTTTATCGTCCGCCGAGGCCATCTTGCAGTTGACCAGTTGTACTCCAACAAGTCGTCCGATCTCTACTGGGGCTTGGGCGGGTTCGGCATCAACGCTTACGTGGGATACCTGTGGGTTTTCTTCATCTCCTGCCCTCTTCAGCCGCAGAAATCTAACGATTTTGACACAGATGCGGATTGATATTCAATATCGTCGGTGTTGCCGGAGCGATGGGTGCATCGATACCGATTGGTGCCTGGTACTTGTGTAAGTCTAGCGCCTGTTTGCAAGGTCTGACTTCCTTCTGAAGGACTGTGAATACTGATTTGTTCTCTCTAAACGTTCAGATCAGTTCAACTTCCTCATGGGTGTTTTCGTGAGTGGAGGTGTATACTACCTGATGTGCAGATTCGGACCTTTCAAGGTCGAATGTAACAAGGGCTGGAACGAAACGGGAGACGCCGCCCTCGTTCCATCGATCATGATCAATGGTGTTGATCCATATGCACACGCTAGGGGAGATTCAGAAGCCAGCGTCGTTGTTGAAACAAAGGACAGCGAGGTGCAGTCTGTCGTGGAGACGTTCAAGCATTAAAAGGCCTTGTGTGATCCACATGCGGATATCGAGTCCTTCGATGAAGAATGTGCTACTTGTGACTCGGTGCAAAATCATGGTGACGCCTATTAGAAGCTGAAGAATGCTAGAGCAAGTAGATAGATTTTGATAATTTCCTTACCTGTGAAATGACATTTTGCAATGAGAACTGGGTCTTCTTATAACATCAGTAACAATGCCTAATTCTCGAGAGTCCTACCGGAGTCCCACTGGTCTGATGACTGAACTGAATGGCCATGGATAGAAACATATGAGCGAAGAAGTGCCTATTCATGGCGGAGGCGATAGCTGCGAATACCCTGCCTTATATCGAGCCTATACTTTGACAACATTGAGCCATTGGTTGAGGAGACGGTTTTCATTTGTATCGAGGATCGGTTATCTCATCTTCTAAAAGCAAAAAAAATTACAGTTGGTTGCGTCGAACCGTTGGCTTTCCGATTCCACCATCCTCACAAAATGGAGTTCGTCTCAGCTGTATCAAACTTCCAGCATTCCATGCCCCTTTCTAGAGGATCCTTTCATGTACCGTAAAATCGATCCCCGAAATCGCCAAGTCCTGGATCGATGTACCTGCAGAGTCGGTAATTTGTCAATGATCCAAGTCGACAAGTTGATAGAATCGCATATATGGGTATCGACAAACCTTTTTGAATTCAAATCCTTGTCAACAGCCGCTGTCACTAACATCAACTTCGGAAATCGTTCAGAGACCAGGCTGACCGCGCTCGCCGAGGCTATCAGATTGACGACAATGATCCGTTCCTCCGGCACACGCTGTTCAAGGACCAGCTCGATTGCTTTACTCACTGAGCCTCCGGTCGCAAGCATTGGCTCGAGAATCAGTACGTCTGCTTAAAGTCAGCAACGTGATCGCACACCCCCGTTTTTGGACGTGGTTGAGAAGCCTTACAAGCGTTCGAAATCGACGTAGGAAATTTAGTGTACAGATGCACTGGGAGGCTCGTTTTCTCGTCTCGTTGGATTAAGAGCTTTCCGAAGCTCAAAGGGCCGCTTTTTAAATTCGCAAAGATAGGGTCAGCATGGATATACACTTTCGCCTTCGCCTCCCCTTTGGTGGGAAGGAGGAGAAGAGGGGAAAGGGAGGATGTGTTGCTGGCCGAGCCTGAAAAAAAAAATAGCGGGTAGATTCGTCTTCACATACTTGTAAGCCGTTCTCAGCGCATCTTCCAGGCTGGCCCCTGCCCTCAGGATGCTGATGCCACAGACTTGCTTTGCTTGTCGCACGCCCTGGTACGTGCCTCCCGTCGGGGTCGTCACTTGTTGACATTCGACTGGGATGAAATCCAGCGCTGTAGGAGGAAAACGAACTCGTCAGAATGGTTGAGCACGAACTTGGAAAAGAGCCAGAGCAAATTTCATCAAGCGGTCTCTGGTTCTTACCTCTGGCCATGAGCTGTGCAGCCACCTTGGCAAATGCATCGATAAAGTCTTTGCCCTCTGTGTTTTGACTGCGCAGAATGGTCATGGAACTTAGGAGTTGATGGTTCTGTGGCAGGAGTACGCAATTCTCCATGGTGTTGCGCATCCTTGAAGCGAGAGCGTCCAAACTTGGAACACACAGGTGTTATTCTTGAAAAACCTATGATGGGAGACTGGAGTCTAGGTCCTGGGGCTCCAGGATTTAGCATGTGAGCATCGGGACGTCAAGTGCAAACAGACCTATCGTACCAGTAGATCCAGTCTTTGAGAATAGGCATACAATTCTTATCGACATCTGTAACTTACATATCGGGAGGTTCTAGCCTCCGATACGAAGAGAGATCTTAGATAAACAATGCGAGGCCCTGTGAAACTTCTGAAATTCCCCACGTATTCTATTATCTAAAGTATCTTTAATCTACCGAGTACCTATCTATAGCTAGCCCCACCCAGATTACCTTCGAAAGCACGAGATTTCCGCTGCCGCACGGAAGAGATTGATAGTCTGGTCATTATTGAGGAATTCATCTATCTTCAAAGTACAGTGTTTGTGGTTCGATTACTTCGTATCTAGCACCTACTTGAGCGGGTCAGACTGTTTGTTTCGAGGCTGACGCGGTGCGCCCTGGGGCATAGGACATGGAAATAGAAGAAAAACTTCTCAACAGCTTGGTAGTTGTAACTTGATCGTAAGGGGAATGATAAATCGAACACTGATACATTGAAGAGCCTGCGTAGTCGGTCTAGGAGCACGCATTCTCCCTGGGTATCCGACCTGCTCACTGTTCCTCTTGCAGACACCAATCTTGTTTCGCGGTCAAAGGTGTTGGGCGATCCAATTCTTTATCCTAAAATGTCCATTCAGGTACTTAGTGGTCAGTATTATTACTCAGACGCCGGTACTCCGAACCATACGTGTTGAAAGATGTCCCTAACCGAGATTGAATGGACGAATATAGGAGGGAGTCATCCAGACTTCGCCGAACTTGTATGCCAGAGGCTGGGGGAGGAGTCACCGTCCACAAAACTCACATCATCGCGGTTTTCGAATGGCGAGACTAGCATTGTCATTGGAAACTCAGTCCGCGGTGCCGACCTGTTTATCATCCAGACAGCAGCAGAACCAGTCAACGACATGCTCATGGAACTCTTAATTACGATCAGCGCCTGCAAGACTGCCTCCGCCAGGAAGATCACCGCCGTGCTCCCCTGTTTCCCTTATTCGAGGCAAGACAAGAAAGACCGCAGCCGAGCTCCCATCACGGCCAAACTGGTGGCCAACATGCTTGAGACAGCCGGCTGCAACCATATCATCACGATGGACTTGCATGCCTCACAAATCCAAGGCTTCTTCAATATTCCCGTGGACAATCTCTATGCCGAGAGTGCAATGGTCGAGTACATTCGAAGTAATATGCCCCTGGACAACGTCGTCATTGTGTCTCCCGACGCAGGTGGTGCGAAGAGGTGAGTGTTAAACTAGGAGTCAATGGGAGAAAATATAACAACAAAAGAGGCTTACGTTGTCACTGAGCTGCTATCATTGCGGACAAGCTGCGTCTTGATCTAGCCCTCATCCACAAGGAGCGTAAAGTCGCCAGCAAAATCAGTCGTATGATTCTGGTTGGATCGGTTCTCAATAAGACTGCCGTTATTGTTGACGACATCGCGGACACATGGTAAGTCTTTTATGAATATCTATGCAACTCATCCTTTTCATTTCAATTTTTCCGGGGGGCCAGTGGACGTCTACTGACTGCGCACTCAGTGGCACCCTGATCATGGCAGCGGACGTATTGAAGAGCCACGGTGCCATCAGTTGCCGCGCCGTCGTTGTCCATGGATTTCTCTCAGGTCCTGCAATCCAGAAGATCGAGGAGAGCTCTTTGGAGAGACTCGTGGTCACAAACACCCTTCCCCTATCACCGACCGCTCAAAAATGTCCCAAAATCGAGTCCATCGACGTCAGCGGCATCATCGCAGAAGCAATTCGACGGACACACCATGGTGAATCGTAAGTAACATACCCCTTTTTCTAGGCAACAATATTCTCCAGGCTGAGTGAAAATCAATGCAGCATCTCCTTTTTGTTTAATTAGACCGGCAGATGGCAGCTGCCTGGTTAGATCACCGGAACAAGAGACAATGCAAGACTGGAAGAATAGTTAGGATTGGACGCGTTGTGTAAACCAAAATTGGTGAGAGGATGTCTTAGCACTGGCGATGACAATTCTCCAGTATCCAGCATACAGTATGCAATACACACTCTCGGTGCACCTTGTTGAGGACATCTCCAGGAACCTTTCGTGCTATACTCGATTAATGTCCTGATTGATTTGATGCCATTGGGGCATTTATTCTCACTTCTAATTGGTGAATCCCGGAAAAGGACCCTCTTTTGCCAACCTTTCTCGGAGCTTTGCAATCATCCCCGGGTTCATATCGTGGGCAAGCGCTGAGTCACTGGCGCCTGCATCAGGTGGATCCCGGATCCTGGATGATTGTATGAAAGCTCTTGTCAACATTTTAGGAAGGAAAGGAGATGGAGAACAAGCCAAAGGTCTGGCCATGATCCCAATTCGACGAACCCCACAATATCATATCCTTCACACGTTGTGCTCCACCATCTTGTCTTATCTTCACATTCCAACTGTACAATCTGTGGTCCGTCGCTCACTTTCAATCTTTTGATAGTGATATCTGCTATCAAGAGATCGAAGGCTTGAGAGTAGGTTTGGTAGGCTTTGTGTTCAGGGCTTGATACTAATGAAACACGATGGTCGTCCAACGTTCTGCAACAACGGTGGCGACGGTGTTAGAGCAGCCTTTGTCTCTGGTGGTCGACAGCAATGATGACACAGCTGGAGACTACTCTCCCAACCATCGCCATCGGAATAAGAGACTTCGCAGCGATGAAACAGGCACCCGGTTAGGCACCAGCGACCCCAGCAGGGTGACCGTGCCTCTGAAGCAAAGCGCCAGCACTGGAGCTAGCACTAGCACCATGGCTCTGCCCACGCCGCCGACCACAACTCAAAATCTGATCAACAATGAATTCGGCGTGTCCAAGACGAGAGTCTGGATGAAGGTCCTGGATCCTGCGTCACAGAAGCTGCTCGCCCGGGTGCCGGATTCAACTCCAGCAGAGATACAGAAAGCCGTGACGGTGGCGGACGCGGCGCAGACAGCGTGGGCGTCGTTGCCTATATCGAAACGGAAAGCCCTGCTTTTCGCCCTGCTGGGTATTTTGCAGCAGCACACGGTCGACTTTCAACAGTCACTGCAGCTCGAGGTGGGGAAGACACTGCAGGACGCCGAGTCGGAATTCGAGAGAGGAATTGATGCTATCCACACTGCGTGCTCGGCCACGGCCGAGATGAATGGCAAACACTGGACCACCAATTCGACAGAGACCTACACGATCCACCAGCCCGTCGGGGTCTGCGTAATCATCACTCCCTTTAATTTCCCTTTTATGATCCCTCTGTGGTCGATCCCCTACGCGGTCATCACCGGCAACACAGTGGTCTTGAAACCTTCCGAAAAGGCCCCTTCGACTGCTAACCTTCTAGGGAGATGCTTCGTGCAGGCGGGGTTTCCCCCTGGAGTGATAAATATCATCCATGGATCGTCGGTGACCGTAGACAAATTGCTCTCGCAGCCTCTCGTCAGCGCGGTATCCTTTGTGGGTTCCGAACTGGCTGGAGAACGAGTCTACGAGCATGCCAAAGCCACCAGAAAGAGAATCCAAGTCGAAGTCAGCGGGAAAAACCACGGGATTGTGCTGGAAGATGCGTCAAAGACAAAGACTCTCTATGCCATTGCCGGGAGCGCATTTGGGGCCGCGGGTCAGAGGTGTATGGCGCTGAGTGTCATGATCTGCGTCGGGTCGACCAAGGAATGGATCGACGATCTCGTCCAGCTGGCCGGGTCGCTCAAAGTCGGCTGCGGTTCTGATCCTGGCACCGAAGTCGGCCCCTTGATCACGGCTGCTGCAAAAGAGAGAGTGGAAGACATGATCGACCTTGCCGAAGCCGAAGGCGCCGAGGTCGTGCTGGACGGACGAAGATATTGCGTGCCCGAATACCCCGAGGGGAACTTTGTCGGGCCCACCATCATCACCAAAGTGCAGACGTCTATGCAGTGCTACCAGGACGAGATCTTTGGGCCTGTCCTCGTGTGCATCGAGGTCGACACCCTGGACGAGGCCATCGAGATAGCAAACGAGAACCGGTACGGCAACGGATGCTCACTGTTTACGACCGATCCTGTCCATGCTCAGACCTTCCAGCGCAAAATAAACATAGGCCAGATTGGAATTAACGTCCCGGTTCTGGCGGCTTCAGGTCCTGTGGCAAGAACAGCAAACAAAGACTCATTCCTCGGAGACAATGAATGTGGACGGAGCCCGTGGCAGTTCTTCACAATGCCCAAAACTGTCACCGCGCTGTGGCGGTGATTGGGGAAAAGGTTGCCAGTTGTCAAGTGAGCACTTGAGGTGTACGCCATCATCTCCCCATCTGAAGGCAAAGAGCCACAAAGGGGCGGCGAGCATGATGCATCGAAACTATTCTTTGAGGGGGGATGGTTTCGGAGTGGTATCTTTTTGATGTATCACGCCTGGGTTGAGAAATCGAAAGCCGAAAAAGGCACCAACAGTTATTACTGAACCCACTCAATTGGATTCATACTCACCAGTAGAGAGGGCTTCTCGAATATGAAACTCAGGAATTGGTTCTTGCTACTTAAAACACCAAATATTTTTCGTAGTGGAAGGTTTATCTGGTCTATTCAACAGAAAAATTTACAGACAGGAAATGCCGACACGCAAGAAGCAGCAATGCACACAAGTCAATTTTTTTTTCCAATAGTAGGATAGAAATCCTCATCGATTTCAAGGTACAATTGTACGTAGGAAAACTTTATATTCCATCGCGTCCCTTACTCCCGTACTGCTGTCTGTAGCTCTGTTCTGTTCCAATGATCCATCTTTAGTACTTTCAATCCAAATTTGTTCCAAACAGTCGGTCTCCTATGTCTCCGATGCCAGGTTGAACGTATCCTGCACTGTCCAGATCCGAGTCGACAGCGCCT